ACATTTCTAAGCACACTACAGAAAGCGCCAGGCTTCACACACTGTGGGAATTCAGTAAATATTTAGAATGATTATCATTTAGAATATTAGGCATAGAAGAATTCTTAAATTTATCAACATCATAGCCTTCTCAAAAGCCTCCATAAATCTGGCACCAAGGTAGATCTTGCAAAAATCTCCTACTTTGTATGTAAATCAATGAAGTCAGAATATTCCCTCATACCATATACACACAAGAAAACTCAAAATGACTTAAAGACTTAAATACAAAATAGGACACCATAAAACTCCAAGGAGAGAATACAGGCAAAACATTCTGACATTAGGTCAGCCTCCCAAAGCAATAGAAATAAAAGCAAAAATAAACTAATTAAACTTATAAGCTTTCATACAGCAAAGGAAACCATAAACAAAATAAAAAGACAACTTTACAAACTGGGAGAAAATATTTGCAAACAATGCAACCAACAAGAGCTTAATTTCCAAAATACATAAACTACTCCGACAACTCAAAATAACAAACAACCAAATCAAAAAATGGGCAGAAGACCTAAAAAGACATTTCTCCGAAGAAAATTTACAGCTGGCCGATAGGCACATGAGAATATGCTCAACACTGCTAACTGTCAGAGAAACGTAAATCAAAGCTACAATCAGGTATCACTTCACGCCGGTCAGAATGGCCATCATTAAAAAGTCTATAAATAATAAATTCTGGAGAAGGGTGCAGAGAAAAGGGAGCCTTCAGACACTGTTGGTGGGAATAAAAATCAGTGCGGCCGTTAAGGAGAACAGTATGGAGGTTCCTTAAAAAAACAAGAGTCGAATTACCGTGTCATCCTGCAATCCCACTCTGGGGCACATGCCCGGAGAAAACGCTCATTCAAAAAGATACATGCCCCCACTGTTCACTGCAGCACTATTTACAATAATCAAGACGTGAAGGCAACCCAAATGTCCACCAGCAGATAAACAGACAAAGGAAATGCGGTACATATATACAATGGAATATACTCAGCCATGAAAGTGGAAGTGAGTCGCTCAGTCGTGTCCGACTCTTTGCGACCCCGTGGACTGTAGCCCGCCAGGCTCCTCTATTCTCCGGGCAAGCATACTGGAGAGGGTTGCCATTCCCTTCTCCAGGGGATCTTCCCATCCCAGGGATCGAACACGAGTCTCCCGCATTGCAGGCAGACGCTTTATCCTCTGAGCCACCAGGGAAGCCTCATACTCAGCCATACAAAGAATGAAATAATGCCATGTGCAGCAACCAGAATGGACCTAGAGATGATTATACTGAGCAACGTTAAGTCAGACAGAGACAAATACTACACCATACGATATCAAATACTGCAGTGGGCTGCCATTTCCCCCTCCGGGGGAACTTCCTGACCCAGGGATCAAACTCGGGTCTTCTGCATTGCAGGCAGATTCTCTGAGACACCAGGGAAGCCCTAAATCACTTGTATGTGAATCTAAAATATGACACAAATGAATTTATCTACGAAACAGAAACAGACTCACAGATACAGAAAACAAACTATGGTTACCAGAAGGGAAAGGGGATGGGGAAGGGATAAATGAGGAGTTTGGTATTAACGGATTCAAACCACTATACTCCTACTAGAACCAGGTCCTACTATATAGCACAGGGAACTATATTCACCATCTTGTAATAGCCTATAATTTAAACAAATATATGTATAATTGAATCTTTTTGCTGTAAACCAGAAACACAACATTATAAATAAACTATACTTCAATTTAAGAAAATCTCCTACTTGGAAGAACCCAACGTGCTTTCCACCTCCTGGGCCCCTGCTCAGGCTGTGCTGACCGCCTCTAAGGCCCTTCTGTCATTCCTGCCTATTCAAGCCCTGCATGCACACATGCGTTCAGTCACGTCTGACTCTCTGTGACTCCATGGACTGTAGTCTGCCACTACCCACCACTCAAGTTCAGCTCCAACGCTTCCTGCTCTAAGGCATCGCTTCTCTCTCATCCGCTTCCCTGAACTCCCAAACACTCCTTACAGAATTGGTATTAATTTGTATGTTAAATCACCTTATTCCTAGCACAGCATCCCACACAAACATCAAATGTTAGATAAACAGTGAATTAATCTAATAACACTCATACATATTACAGAAAAAGCAAGTAGAAAGTCAGACGTTAAGAATTTTTCCCCAAGTTCTTCATACAGGAACAAAGGCAGAAATTGAACTTGGAGCAGGAGCATGATGGACTAACCCAAAGATCCTATCACTGCTCTGCCTCTGTGTGACTTCTGGGAAGCTATCTAATATGTATTTCTGTTTCTTTATCTATAAAACCAATACATCTGTTTTGCAAGTCATTAAAGATAATGTGCAAAATTCTTAAAATGCCCAAGCCTTGATAGATAATACACTTTGATAAATGGATAGATAATACATTTTGGATAGACATTACATTTTGATAAATGGCAGGTATTGTTTTCAGCATTATTACTTTTCTGTGTACATCTCACAAACAGAGGTAATGAACAATGCCCCAGGAGAGTGTCTTAATACCTGCTCTGAGATTTTGTTTAAAAAAAAAATTCTCTGTACCATTTTTTCCGAAGTATAAAATTCAGTGGAAAAATCTACTTACTGAAAACAAGTATGAGAGGAACAGATACAAACGACTACACATAAAACAGACATCCCACAAGGATTTACCGTACACCCTATAATGACCCACAATGAAATACTGACATTATCTGAAAAGAAACAACTGATTCACTTTGCTGTACATCTGAAAACAACACAGTACTGTAATCAACTGTCCATTTTTTTTTTAAGTTTTGAAATTATAATTTCATACAACATGGAAATAATTGTTCAAGTAAGCAAAATAGAAGGGTGAAAACTAACTATATGAGCATGAATTATAAAAATACAATGACATTCAGTAACAAGGAAAAACAATACCTCAATTTTTTTTTCTTCACCCAAATGTTTGAAGTGACCTATTCATTTGCCTTAACACTTGGTGTTATCAGACTGTATTTTTTTGCATGAAGATCTTTTTTTCAACTACTGAGACTGCTGCTTAAATTTTAATCAGGTAAACAGTATTCTTTCCATCATAATTATTTTTAAACTTTTTATGAAGAAATACTTTAATGCAATTATTTAGAACCTGGCTCCCCAAATTACAACACATTCTGCTTAAATCACACAATATCAGATACAAAGAGTAACACCCACTTCCACACGGAGAAAGGCTCAGCAGTGGAAAATGTAATCAGATTGTCAGCATGATAGGTAAAAAAACACAGAATTATTTAAAGAAAATTAAATTTATAAAAACCTTATTCAAAGAAAAGGGAGCATTTTGCACAGACTCTGCTTCATTAGCTGTCACAATGCAGTAAAAAGAAAAAAAAGTATATGACAAATTTGCCTATTGGATTTACATTCTGAGACTCTGAGAAATTTTACCATAATTATTTTAGATTTTCTGTTAAAAATACACTATTTTGTAAATGTCTGATGAAGAACAGTTTTACGAGTTCCACAAATATAAGACCACCAATGTCACATCAAGTCCTCCTAGTTATAAGTTCTGACTCCCTCTGGCCTATTAATAATATTAACAGCTAACAAGTGTTAAACTTTTACTATATACTGGTACTTTTCTACATATCTTACATGCTTTAATTAATTCACAATAACTTATATCTTAAACATTATTAATAACTGCATTTTATTAGTTATTAGGAAGAAACAGAGGCACAGAGGGCCTAACTAATTTTTCCAAGGTCACACAGCAAGAAGACACAGGATTAAACTTAATACAATCTGTCTAGAGTAGCACTGTTCAACAGCAATGTGATCCACCCATGTAAATCTAAATTTTCTAGTAGCCATGCTAAAAAATATAAAAAGCAGGTAAAATTTATGACTTATTTAATCTCAAATATTCAAGATATTACCATTTCACCACGTAATCAAATACAAAAGATACTAAGCATCTTACATTCTTCTTTGAGTATTAAGTCTTCACAATCTGATGTGTGTTTTGCACCTAGCAGACATTTCAGTTCAGACTGGCCACATTTCAAGTGCCAGGAGCTCAGAGTTGGACCATGAGTTCCAGAGCCTGCTCTCTTACCTGATAGGCTAGCTACCAGAAAGGAATCTAAAAAGGTCTATGTCGTCATTATTAGAAAACATTTATCTTTTCAAATATAGTTAAAATACTAGTAATCTAGCAGCATCCCATCATTTGATTTTTTTTTCCCCAGTTGGATCTTGAGAGTGGGACAGAGAAAAAAGTTCATCCACTTGGAGAGACAATTCACCGTGTGTGTGCACATCCCGCATCAGCTCTCGTTACAGGTATCTTTCCAAGGATGCCTGTACGGCAAACATGCTTGGAACACGAAGACGGTGTCTGCCCTGGCCAGGAGGGCAGATCTGTTTCCTGACCACGGTAATAACATCCTCCTCTGAGGATGTACTGGCTCCCTCCTAAGATTGGGGGGTTCCTAGGCTTGGGGATCCTCCACTGGGATACAAACCCACTACAGGCCTTGGGAGGTAAGAGGAACCAACGCCAGCACGGAGCCCACGCTACCTGCTAAGCCACGACACAGGAATGCTGTGTCTTCTGCTGCATCTATAAAGCTAGAAGGCTAATTTGTTAGTCTGAAAGTAGGGTCAAGTCTCAGACCCCTCACTGTTTCTGACACAACTTTTTTTGTGCCGCTGGGTTCTGAAATAGGCATCTCCCAGAGAAGAGAACTTAACATTTTTCGATGGTTAGGACAAAGATAAACTAAAGTTACTGTTTTAGGATTAAGGTTTCAGAAAAATGGCAGGAAAAAAATAAGCTTGATACGGTTTCCCCGAATACTACCAGCAGTTAATTCCTGTTACGAGCTTATCAAATCACCACTTAAATTCCTTCACCACAGCAAACAGCTCTAAGTGTTTTCAGTTTCTTTTACAAAATAGTTACGTATACTGTACCTTTCCACAACATTTGGCTTTGTCTATAATCTTCAGGGCAAACTCCTTTCCGGTTGACCTATGAATAAACAGAGGAAGGCCATTTAAAGACACACATCAAAGACACCATCCTTCCTGATTTCCTCTCGAGCAGACTCTGGGAAGAAAGACTGGTTTCCTCCTCTATACACCAGAGAGGATGCTGAGCGGAATCTGGGAGAAAAATCCCCCAAAAAAGATTTTTTAAAAACCCACAAAGCCACACTGTCAATCTCCTGTTATAAATATCAATCATTACAATATTATTAACTAACTCACATATTTAAAATAGTTAAATTCTGTTGCATCAGAGCTGGATGAAAGATATTTTCCCACACTTAAATCTCAAAAATAGTTCTCTGAGGAGACAGAATAAAATTTAGAAAAAGGAATCAAAGTAACAGAAAAATTTCTTTTATCAATGTCTTTACATGAATCCATTAGCCCATCAGGCCACAATTTAAAACTGAGAAGTCCCTAGGCTTCCACTGTCCATTTCTCAGTCAAACTGCAGGGAAGACCTGGAGCTGTCTCACCCACACCTCTCAACACCCCAGTCTGCAGGCGTGTCCAACCCTCTGCGACCCCATGGACCACGGCCCGCCAGGCTCCTCTGTCCATGGCATTCTCCAGGCAAGAATACTGGAGTGGCTTACCGTTTTCTTCTCCAGGGGTAAAGTATGAAATGAGTGAAGTGAGTGAAGTGAAGTCGCTCAGTCGTGTCTGACTCTTAGGGACCCCATGGACTGCAGCCCACCAGGCTCCTCCGTCTGTGGGGTTTTCCAGGCAAGAGCACTGGGGTGGGTGGCCATCGCCTTCTCCTGCGCATGTGTGTAGACTTCGCTAAAGTGTGTACTGCATACATATTGTTAAAAATCCATAAGCTAAAATTAAACCATACATTTTATCAAAGAAACTTAAAATTAGGTTTTTTTTTTAAGACTCTTATTCTTAGAGCAGTTTTAGACTCACAGTAGAATTGAGATGACTTCTCATGTGGCGCTAGTGGTAAAGAACATGCCTGCCAATACAGGAGATGCAAGACACGCAGGTTCAATCTCTGCATCAGGAAGATCCCTGGAGGAGGGCATGGCAACCCATTCCAGTATTCTTGCTGGAGAATCCCATGGACAGGGGAGCCTGGTGGGCTCCAGACCATAGGATTGAGAAGAGGCAGACACGACTGAAGCGGCTTAGCATGCAAAACTGGGATGAAGGCACAGAAATTTCCTATGGACCCCCTTCTCTGTCTTAGTCTCGTAGCACCAACAGACTATGTCTTAATAGGTCATTTCTTTCAGTGCTATAAAATATTCCATTGTCCAATGTAGTTTATTTGTTTACCTACTGAAGGACCCCTTGGTTGCTTCCAATTTGAGGCAGTTATGAATAAAGGCCCTATAGATGTCCATGCACAGGTTTCTGTTTGGATATGAGTTTTCAACTCATTTGGTTAAATACCAAGGAGGAAAGATGCTGGATCAAATGATAAGAGTGGGTTTAGTTTTGTGGGAAATGTTCAAACTGTCTTCCAAGCTGGCTATTATATTAAGATTTGATAATGATATGTCATTGATGATGCAGAGCTGTAATTTAAAATTTCATGCTTTCCAGTGATGTTTTTAAAGACCCAACACTTTCTAGCTTGATAGCTTCCCAACTGTTGGCAACTTTCATCCAGGAGACAGGGAAGGGGGACCTCCACGGCCAGTAGTCCTGCATAGATCAAAGCTTAGAAAGAAAGTCTTTCCTCCTACANACTTGATGAGCATGTGCTTGGGTAGACTCCGGGAGTTGGTGATGGACAGGAAGGCCTGGCGTGCTGTGATTCATGGGGTGGCAAAGAGTCAGACACGACTGAGCGACTGAACTGACTGACTGGTATATAGTGGTAAAGAACCCATCTTCCAATGCAGGAGACGTAAGAGATGTGGGTTCAATCCCTGGGTGGGAAGAGGCGGGCATGGCAACCCACTCCAATATTCTTGCTTGGAGAATCCAGGGACAGAGGAGCCTGGCAGGCTACATTCCATAGGGCTGCAAAGAGTTGGACACAACTGAAACAACTTAGCATGCATTTGTGCATGTATATATAGTGTGTTAGTCACTCAGTCATGTTTGTATATATGTGTGTAGAGTATAAACCTGCTTTCTGAGAGATGTATCAGGTCTCATTCATGAGCCAGAGAAAAATGGGAAAGAATACGATTTGTTACAAAAAATAAAATCTCCTACAGCACTTCCCTGTGCCAGGCTTTGTTCTCAATGCTGTAGTTGTATTAATTCATTTAATACCTGCAGGAACCCCCTCATGTAATATTTAATTTCATATTATCAGTAGTCTAGGACACAGGAGTTCTGACTTTATTCTAGATCAGATCAGCCAACTTTTGCACATATTAATATTTCTGCTTTTCCAGCCTTATTTTAAGGTCTTGATTTCTCAAATGGTAAACTATTAAAACTGGAAAAGATTCGGATTAGAGTCTTTGTACTTATAGGCTGTTCTTCCAGCTGTTCTAAGTAGTAATTTTTGTTCGGGGAGGGGGGGTGGGCAGGAGGTGAGTTTTCCAGAAAGTTCTGGTAACTGCAGTTTTTCTGTTTTGCTACATCTTTGGTGGAGGTTTACTGCTCGTTATATGGTGCAGAAAGCAACTCCTTTACTTAGCTCTGGTTACACAGATTGTTGCCCAAGCAACAGGCATCTAAAATATGACTTCTAAAGGCTCATTAGAAACCCGAGGCAATATTTGGTTTATACTATGGGGAAGGGCTTCTCTGGTGCCTCAGACAGTAAAGAATCTGCCTGCAATGAGGGAGATGCAGCTTTGATCACTGGGTCAGGAAGATCCCGTAGAGAAGGGCATGAACCCACTCCAGTATTCTTGCCTGGAGAATCCCATGGACAAAGGAGCCTGGCGGGCTGCAGTCAAGCTGCCCGTGAGCGTGCAAAACCACTAGTCCCTAGGGCAGAGTCTTTGAGAAGGCCTTCTGTTCATTCAGGTAAGAATAAATTCCAAGGCAGAAATGTATGCATCAGTGAACAAGCGATTATCTTCCCTCACCTGTCCATGCACTCTTTGACGACTGCAAAATTGCCATCTCCAATAACTTTCCCAATTTTGTATTTCTCAAGAAGAGTGGATGACTCAGAGCACCTGTTCCCATTCACACCTGCGAGAAAGCGTAAACGCATACTCTAATGAACACAGCACATTGCACCTTGATTTTTACACCTTTGTAAAACAACAAATCTAAATGCACTTCTATATCTATACTAAAACTAAAGAAAATCCTCTGAGCATATTTTCTTAATAAAACACCTGAATCACCAATTTTCTTTTAGCCTTGTTGGCTAGAATCAGAAACCAACAAAATCAAGAAGACTCTTCTGAGTCCCTTGGACTGCAAGGAGATCCAGCCAGTCCATCCTAAAGGAAATCAGTCCTGAATATTCACTGGAAGGACTGATGTTGAAGCTGAAACTCCAATACTTTGGCCCCCTGATGTGAAGAGCTGACTCACTGGAAAAGACCCTGGTGCTGGGAAAGATTGATGGCGAGAGGCGAAGGGGATGACAGAGGATGAGATGACTGGATGGCATCACCAACTCAACGGACATGAGTTTGAGTAAGCTTCTGGAGTTCGTGATGGACAGGGAAGCCTGGTGTACTGAAGTCCATGAGGTAGCAAAGAGTAGGACACGACTGAGCAACTGAACTGAACAAATTCCTGAAATATCACCTGAAAATAAGTGATTAACTTTGGGTAATAGGGAAGTCTAACTAAAAGTCTAAATTTTTTGTCAATTCTGGGGAAAGGGGAAGGGGGTGATGGTGGGGATTTATTTTTAGACATTTTTTTCTCAAGATATTCTAGTAAAGAAAATTCTGGCCAGTCATGAGCTAAGCTAAGTTAATGCAAATTTCTGGCTCAAAGTTATCTCAAAAAGAAGGTGGGGGGAGGGGCAGGAGGAGGAAGTGGTTAAGACTGCACTTTTCACAATGCATCCTCAAGTGGACTGTATGCTGCACACATCAGAGAAAGAAGCCTACTTAGAGTATCTAAGAAAAACGAAAGTCTACATTTAGGAATTGTAGGCAGTTTCAGTTCAGTCGCTCAGTCGTGTCCGACTTTGCGACCACATGAACCACAGCATGCCAGGCCTCCCTGTCCATCACCAGTTCCCAGAGTTTACCCAAACTCATGTCCATCGAGTCAGTGATGCCATCCAGCCATCTCATCCTCTGTCGTCCCCTTCTCCTGCCTTCAATCTTTCCCAGCAGATTGCCACTAGGGAAAAATGATGGAAACCCAGAACTAAAATTTGAAATTGGGATTGCTTAATTAACACTGATGCGACCCCTGACAAGTAAGGCTGAACAGGTTAACTGGTGTCATGATCTCATGGTATTTAGGGAGACCGTCGTAAAGCACAAGGGGATGCGTGGGTCCGCCAAGTTCACACGGATGGCTTCCGTTACAGAAAAGTAAACACACTGAGAACTACCTTCAGGACTCAGGCAACGGTCAACTTCAGGCCCTCCGTTGACATTGGAAGAAGATCGGCCATGTGCAGAAACCTGCTGCAAAAAGACAGTGCTTGTTATTTAATCAGCTTATCGACTATGTGGGTAAGTTTCCACATAGAATCATATAGAAACAGAGGAAGCATCCCCTTGCTTCTCATCTCACCCGTCCTCCTATACACAGCCCCATTAATACAGTTCTCCCCTAGACACAGTGCTTTCAATTAGTAGCATGAAAACTGACACTGTGCTCCTCTTCTTTGATACTGTGTTACTTCTGATCTCAATGAAGTAAAGAAAAGGAGATTTTCAGGGCATCACCGATGAACAAGCTAGTCACCCACAGCACATGCCCTCTGGAGGGTTCGGCACCCAGACAGCAGCTCTGACTCAACCAACTCCTTTACACCCTAAGACAGCAGGACTTCCTCTGCGGCATCACAAGGATTTTTTTTTAAACTAGGAATCAAAGGGAAATAAAAGATAAAACTAAATGATAGGTTCCCACCTAACAAAAAGCTGAAGTCCCAGTCTAACACACAAATATCTCTAAATTCTTCGGCAAACTGAAAAGGCAGAGAAACCCGATATCAAATTGCCAACATCCAATGGATCATCGAAAAAGTGAGAGAGTTCCAGAAAAACAGCTACTTCTACTTTATTGACTATGCCAAAGACTTTGACTGTGTGGATCACAACAAACTGTGAAAAATTCTTCAAGACATGGGAATACCAGGCCACTTGACCTGTTTCCTGAGAAATCTGTATGCAGGTCAGGAAGCAACAGCTAGAACTGGACATGGAACAACAGACTGGTTCCAAATAGGAAAAGGAGTACGTCAAGGCTGTATATTGTCACCTGCTTATTTAACTTATATGCAGAATACCTCATGAGAAATGTTGGACTGGATAAAGCACAAGCTGAAATCAAGATTGCTGGGAGAAATGTCAATAACCTCAGAAATGCAGATGACACCACCCTTACGGTAGAAAGTGAAGAGGAACTAAAGAGCCTCCTGATGAAAGTGAAAGAGGAGAGTGAAAAAGTTGGCTTAAAGCTCAAGATTCAGAAAACCAAGATCATGGCATCTGGTCCCATCACTTCATGGCAAATAGATGGGGAAACAGTGAAAACAGTGGCTGACTTTATTTTTGGGGGCTCCAAAATCACTGCAGATGGTGACTGGAGCCATGAAATTAAAAGATGCTTACTCCTTGGAAGGAAAGTTATGACCAACCTAGACAGCATATTAAAAAGCAGAGACATTACTTTGCCAACAAAGGTCCATCTAGTCAAGGCTATGGTTTTTCCAGTGGTCATGTATGGATGTGAGAGTTGGACTGTGAAGAAAGCTGAGCGCCGAAAAATTGATGCTTTTGAACTGTGGTGTTGGAGAAGACTCTTGAGAGTCCCTTGGACTGCAAGGAGATCCAACCAGTTTATCCTAAAGGAGATCAGTCCTGGGTGTTCATTGGACGGGCTGATGTTGAAGCTGAAACTCCAATACTTTGGCCACCTCATGCAAAGAGCTGACTCTTTCAAAAGACCCTGATGCTGGGAAAAGATTAAAGGTGGGAGGAGAAGGGGATGACCAAGGATGAGATGGTAGGATGGGATCACTGACTCAATGGACATGAGTTTGAGTAAGCTCCGGGAATTTGTGATGGACAGGGAGGCCTGGCATGCTGCAGTCCACGAGGTCACAAAGAGTCGGACACAACTGAGCGACTGAACTGAACTGAAACTGAAAAGGGCTTCCCGGGTGGCTCAGTAGGTAAAGATGACGTCTGCAATGCAAGAAACGCTGGCAGACATGGGTTCTATGTCCGCGTGAAGAAAATCCCCTAGAGTAGGGAATGACAACCCATTCCAGTATTCTTGCCTGAAGAATCTCAAGAAGAGGAGCTTGACAGTCTACAGTCCATAGGGTCACAAGAGTCAGACAAAATTGAAGCAACTGAGCACACACAGGTAAACTGACTATTTCTGTGATGATATGTACGTTTGTCATTGTTATTATTGTCCAGTCGCTCAGTTGTGTCCAACTCTTTGCAACTCCATGGAATGCAGCATGCCAGGTTTCCCTGTCCTTCACCACCTCCTGGAGCTTGCTCAAACTCATGTCTATTAAGTCGGTGATGCCATCCAACTATCTAGTCCTCTGACATCTTCTCCTCCTGCTTTCAATCTTTCCCAGAATCAGGGTCTTTTCTAAAGAGTCAGCTCTTCGCATCAGGTGGCCGAAGTATTGGAGCTTCAGCTTCAGCATCAGTCCTTCCAATGAATATTCAGCATTGATTTCCTTTTCCTTTAAAATTGACTGGTTTGATCACCGTGCAATCCAAGGGACTCTGAAGAGTCTTCTCCACAGTTCAAATGCATCAAATGACAAAATATGTATCATTATTTACTACTATTTTAAGTATCGTTTATTATTCTGGAGGCTTATGGAATTTTTTTTCATAATTCCCAAGGGCCATTACACTTCCCAACTCAATCTTTTCTCTTTCTTCTTTAACTTTCTTTCTTCTCTTAAAAAAAAAATAAAGTATTCCTTTTAGGAGTTTATATGGTCAAAGGACTTACTGATGCTAAAACCAGGAGTGGTGTGTCTTGTTAAGAAACCCAAGGCCACTGAAAACCAGTGCTGAGATGCACCAAATTAGCCCTGCCCTGAGGAGTAAACACGCCTCTCCTAAGTGTGTGTCCTGCACTTTGACAGGTGAGTAGTCAGGCAGAAACGTGGGTGTGTGTGTGTGTGTCCCTTTCTGGCCACCCTTAACCTGATGAAAACTGCAGGTGGCTGAACACGTCGCTCCTCAGAACTCACTCACTCTTTCCTCATAATACAGGTCATTGGTGGACACAGTTTTTCAAAATTTAGCTATTTTGCTTGTTTCCTTTTTCCCTGCTAACATTGAAGGCAATTCCAAAATTCAGCAGGAATTTATGCTAGAATGTTTAAAAGTCAGAATTTAAAAACCACGCCCCGGAAGGGGACCTGAAGGGAAGCTGAAAAGAAAAGTCAGAATTTAAAAACCACGCCCTAGAAAGGGACCTGAAGGGAAGCTGAAAAGAAAACCACAGCATTCTCTGCAGCAGCTGTTGATACAGCGACCACTCCCGCCCGGGGGTCCTCCGCTTCTGGACAGCCCCACCCCCCGCCTCAGTCACCGCCAGCCTCCCCACGCCACGAGTGCTGCCAGGGCAGCCTTTCCAGAGACTTCTGATCCCAGAACCTCACTGTGTCATCATAACCAACAGAGCAACCCTCAAGTCTTCAGCCCACCTGACAATGCAGGAGGCATAAGAAACCGGGGTTTGATCCCTGGGTCGGGAAGATCCCCTGGAGGAGGCATGGCAACCCACTCCAGTGTTCTTGCCTGGAGAATCCCATGGACAGAGGAGCCTGGCGGGCTACAGTCCATGGGGTCACAGAGTCAGACACGCCAGCCTCCCCACGCCACGAGTGCTGCCAGGGCAGCCTTTCCAGAGACTTCTGATCCCAGAACCTCACTGTGTCATCATAACCAACAGAGCAACCCTCAAGTCTTCAGCCCACCTGACAATGCAGGAGGCATAAGAAACCGGGGTTTGATCCCTGGGTCGGGAAGATCCCCTGGAGGAGGCATGGCAACCCACTCCAGTGTTCTTGCCTGGAGAATCCCATGGACAGAGGAGCCTGGCGGGCTACAGTCCATGGGGTCACAGAGTCAGACACGACTGAGTGACTGAGTTACAACAGCAGCAATGTAAATCATCTAGCACAGCCAACCACAGGTAGCACTAACTCAACATTAGTTATTAGTATGTTTCCTCAAAACGCCTAACATAGGGCCTTTGAATGAGTGTATGAGAAAGGCTTTTGAATTGTTGAGTGTACAATGGCTCCAAGAGACGTTTCTATATAATTCACTCCAAGTCAGTTTTCTCTTCTAATGCAACACTTCTGGATTGAAAATTNAAGACCAGGAGCTGACTGTGGCTCAGATTAAGAACTCCTTATTGCAAAATTCAGACACAAACTGAAAAAAGTAGAGAAAACCACTAGATCATTAAGGTATGACCTAAATCAAATCCTTTGCAATTATACAGTGGAAATGACAAATAAATTCAAGGGATTAGATATGACAGAGTGCCTGAAGAACTATGGACGGAGGTTCGTAACATTGTACAGGAGGCAGTTATCAAGATTATCCCCAAGAAAAAGAAATGCAAAAATGCAAAATGGTTGTCTGAGGAGACCTTACAAATAGCGGAAAAAAGAAGAGAAACAAAAGGCAAAGGAGAAAAGGAAATATATACCCATCTGAGTGCAGAGTTCCAAAGAACAGCAAGGAGAGATAAGAAAACCTTCCTATGTGATCAATGCAAAGAAATAGAGGAAAACAATAGAATGGGAAAGACTACAGATCTCTTCAAGAAAATTAGAGATACTAAGGGAACATTTCATGCAAAGATGGACTCAATAAAGGACAGAAACAGTATGGACCTAGCAGAAGTTATTAAGAAGAGGAGGCAAGAATACACAGAACTATACAAAAAAGACCTTAATGACCCAGATAACCATGATGGTATGATCACTCACCTAGAGCCAGACAACCCTGAATATTCATTGGAAGGACTGATGCTGAAGCTAAGGATCCAATACTTTTGCCACTTGATGCCAAGAACTGGCTCATTGGAAAAGACCCTGATGCTGGGAAAGATTGAAGGCAGGAGGAAAGATTGAAGACAGAGGACGAGATGGCTGGATGGCATCACCGACTCAGCGGACATGAGTTTGAGCAAACTCCAGGAGATGGTGAAGGACAGGGAAGCCTGGAGTGCTGCAGTCCAAAAGACAGCAAAGAGTGCAACATGACTGAGCAACTGGACAACAACAGATTCTTAACAGAATAAAGATAAGAAAGTCATTTGGGGGAAGTTTCATATCTGAAAAGGTAAATAGAAAGATGCCTTTTGATCTCAGCTCACCTCTAGGTTACAGGGATGGAGGGGTGGACTGTCGATGCCCGGGGGAGCAGTGGTGCACAGTGGCCTGGCTCACCTGCAT